GTTTTTATTTCGTTTTCTTCTTCTCAAATCTACTTCTTGCCTTTTATCTTCCCCTAGTTTTCAGTTCTTTCCTTCTTTAAATGGCAGACCTGGCAGCTGAGGAAGGAGTGCTGAAGGCAAGAGGTTGGAGCTGCGGGTGCAGCCATACGTGGGGGAGGAACTGGATACTGCACCTGTTTTGGTTGCTACAATTGAGATTGAAGGAGGAAACTGATGCTGCTGCTGGTTGGTTGGTTGCAGATCTATGAGATGGTCGGGGAGGAAGGCCAATGGAAGGAAGCTGATTTGTGTAGGCCTGTGATGGGGCTGCTTCTGCGGGTTACTATGGTTGGGTCTGTTCATTGATCTAGATAGGGAGGCTGATAGGTCGGGTGAGAGAGGAGGATATGACCGGGTTTGTGGGGATGAGGGAGGAGCTGTGTGCAGGGCGGTTGGGAGACTATGGGTCTGAGAGAGGAGAGGGACGGTGTGTGATGGCTGTTGGTGAAGGGGAGGAGGAGATATTGAGGGGCTGTTGAGAGAGAAACTAGTTGAGGGAAAGGGAAGAAGAAGATGGAGCTCTGGTGTGGAGGGAGGGGTGACTATGTTTGGGTTGGCAGAGAAGACCGGAGGAAGAAGGAGCAGAAAAAAGTCCGAAGGAGAGGGGGCAACGACTCCTTTGGTAAGGAAGAAGAAAAAGTTCTCTTTTTTTTTCTTAGGGTTCCTTTTTTGTGTTACTTCCTTAGAAATTCAAAATTACCCTCCCCTATATTTCAAATTGCTCCACCTTTTTGGTAATTGTTTTGGCTTATATTTATATGTAAAATGTTGTTTGGTCCTCAAAATTAGTCCCTCAACTTCTTTTTTTGTAAAATTTTAGTTTTTCTTAATTTTTTGTATTTTTTTAAAATAAGCAATATCAACGTTGACTCAATGAGAAAAATCAATGATTTAAAAATGACGTGTGAAAAGTCGAACAAGTTCCAAAAACCTAAATTCTTTTTTAGATGACTTTGAAAATGCTAAAAACGATGTAAATATATTAAAAACATATTTTTTGGATTTTTGTTGTTTTTTTGCTATTTTTGGATTTTCCAAAATTTCATCAAAAAGGTGGGTCAAAAATTAGGTAACAATATGTGTAATTATCAATATTTATAGGGGAGGTGCTGTCGAATTTTCTTAAATGATTGAATTTCTATATATATTAGGTTATATATATGATGTTGTTGGAGTTATTTGGTTTATGGTTATTATAAAGATTTCCTGGTTTGAAAACTGTGGGTAATCTTTAGTATAAAAGAGGTGCTGCTGACTGTTTTTAAATAATCAAAGTTAATTATGTAATTATTTGTATAAATTTATGTTGATGCGTAGAATAAAATCTACAACACTTTGTTAGCAGACGGTTGCCACTAGTTCTTCTTGCAGCAAGGAGGATGTATCATTAGGTGCTGATCACGACAAGGAATCTATGCCAACTTGTGATGCTACCTCTTCTAGTGCGATTTCAAGGTGCAGAAGCAATGTGCCATCACAACGGAGTTAATTCACTCACAAGTACTAGGCATAATGGACGGATGACCTCTCAATGTAAGTTTGTTTAGGTTTTTTTTTTATATATACTTATAACATAATTTATGAACAACTAATTAATATTTTATTAATTTAATTTAATTTAAGTTCATAATAACATTGGCATTTAAATTGTCGATGGAGATTTCATTGTTTCAATGGAGTCAGGTTTGTAGACATCTTAAATGAAGACCTAATATCGATGCATAATTTTAGCACTTTCAAGCCAGTGTTAACTTTTAATTTCCAGCTTATTTTAATAAATTTCTTTTATAATTTTATAACTTGTACTATTTTTATTTTATATGAATTGTCTATATACGCAACATAAAGTTGAGTAGGATAGAGTGAACAAAAATGTTGTGAGGATGGTATTAGAGAATCAAGCAACAACTAGGTAACATTGAAAATAATATTTATTTATGCTTTATAATTTTACATTCTAAATTCTAATTTGTTACTATGGAAGTAGGTTGCGTGATATTTGGTAGGACAACCAAAAAAAATGAAAAGGACATGCAAGGGATAACGGTCTTGAAAGATGGAACGAGGTGGCGGTTTGGTGAGAATTCAAGCCACCATTCATCTCGAGTGATATATGGATGACATATATTGAGCACATGATCTCAGAGCAATTCACACAGTGATTATAGTTTGGTGCCAACAACTAGGATCAACAAATTCATGGTTCAGTGACTACGCACATCGATGGCTCTGTTCTATTTAGCGCACATGCAAAGTGGATAGTAAGATTAATTTTAATGAAATATATCATTAATTAATTTGTCATTCCTTATAATATATTAAACTTGCAACCTATTTTTTCCTTACATGCTACGTCTCTTAGACGTGAGCCTAGTGCAATGGAACTGTTTGTAGAGACATATCTGCAAAGTCAAAACTGCCAAAAAGTGGTGTAGTAGTTCATAGACAACCATGCTCAGCACTTCATGATATGTTTGTTCAATCATTTTATTTTGTAAGTTATTATTTTCTTGAATTAAATATGATTATTAAAAAAAATTCAGGAGACCTATAATAACCGGTAGAGGGAGAGATATAGGGACAATCCTTCGACCCATCCAAATTTCAATCTGGATTTGTGGATGGAGGTGAGATCGTCTAGTGGACCTGAAAAAAATCAAGTCTACAGGCTCTCCAACACTAGGGCCAAAAACTTGCGGTCAGCCTGTAGTGTCTCAACCGTTAGGGCTCTTCACCAGTATCGAGCACCTAGTTTGAGGAGTTCATGGCCTTGAAACAACAATATCAATATCTATCAATGAATTATGATCAGCTCCATCAAATGGTCATGGAGATTAGATCAAAGATGGATGATGATACATGTGCAACTCCTTTTTAGCCGTATGGTCCTAAGAACAAACAGCCTCTTCCTTTGCCTCTTCCGGCTCCTCCGATATTCTAGTTTAATTTTTTTTTTAAACACATTAAATTTTTAATGAATATTTGGATGAATATTATTTAACACTATTTTGATATTTTTAATGTTTAATACAATTTTATTTGTTTAGTAAGCCTTTTTACTATTAATAAATTATTTTTTATACATATTTTAAATACATACCAACAGCATTACCGATGGATCCCAACTGTTGGTATTTTACTAAGAGTTGCCAAATAATTACCACCCATGCCATAATTACCGACATAATATTTCCATCGGTTTTTACGAATACTATTACCAACGAATTATCCATCGATAAGTACCGTTGAAAATTCAGACAGATGTGTTTCATCGGTAATGTTCTTGTGGGAATTTATTTTGCCACGTTTCACCATCTATAAGACTGTTGGTGTTCCATTCGTGGTTGATTTTTTATTTTTGATAGAATTAGCAACGGATGGGAAATTACCAATGATTAGTAAATCAACTAACTAATTCCGTCAAAGATACCATCAATAATAATTTAACTGACAGATTTCATGCCTTACATCAACAGAATTAATCTATTGAAAAAATTATTTAATGGTGTAGTGAACTATTTTTTTTTAGTTTTAATTGTAGAGTTTTGTTTTTGCACCGAAACATATTTTGACCAAACTGTGATTATTAAGTGATAATTGTTGATGTTGGAAGCTTGATTATGATTTGGTGAATGATTCTCATCATGCCTATGCCTTTGATTTCATTGTATAAGGTCAGATTTGAAATTCACATTGTTGTGTTTACTTTGAATGTTCTTTTTATTCTTGAGTTTTCTATGTTTTGATTTGGTTTTGACAAATAAAAAATTTGTGTTCTTATGTTTGTTTTGCAAGTTTAATATGTTTTTATTTTTGGGTTTGATTTTAGTTTTTTGAGTTAAACTAGTGATCTTCGGATCAATTTATAATCGAATTAAAGAATTCAAGTGAACCTGATTTGATCAAATTCAAGTTAGATGTGCAAGGCCCTATTTCGTTTTCAACCTTTTTTGTAAAGGAATTTTTGGCTTAAAGGTGTGTTTAGAAAAAACACTAAGTTTATTTTGGTAGTTATACATAAAAATAAAAGGGGGTTTGCCAAATAAATCATCTAAAAAATAATATTTTTTTAAAAAAAAATATAAGAAGTTTTTTGGTATATAGCCAAAAATCCTCAAAAATTATTTAAGCATTTTTTTAATAAAAAATTCAATACTTTGGCATGTTTTAAAAACTATTGCATGGATTTAATAACAAGTTTGTAAAATTAAAAAATATTTAAAACTTATATTATTTGAGATAAAAAAATATATATATTATTCATTTTTAATATAAAGGATAAAAAACCTTACAAAAGAGCTAATACCAAAAATATTATTAGAGATAGTAATTTACCTATTACTCACCTTCAATATAAGAATATAAAACTTATACGAGTTTAATATCAAAAATATTATTGGTAGTAATACAATTCATTCATTTCTAATATTAGATAAAAAAAAATTATAAGGAATATTATCTAAAATATTATTTGGGAATGATACGACAACCAAAAAACAAATTTCCAGTTTTCCTTTAAAAGAAGCCTCAATAATAATTGAAAATGTTTCACCTTACCAAATGAAGTTCTAGGCCTAGAAAATTAGGATTCATTTATTGTAGCATACTTGTCATACTAAGTCAGTAGAAATAGACTTCATCAAATCATAATAAATAAATAAAAAATAATACAATTTATTTTAAATATGATATATTAGGAGTATTAATATATTTCTGTTATGCAACCAGTTCTTTACCTAGAATTTAAAAAAAAAAAACTATTGATCAATGCAGCTAAAATGTGAGCAATAATCACACATTTGTGATCAATCTATAACACAACAATTATAAACATATTTCTTAAATCAATGTAAAACATCAAGCCAAAAAATATGCATGCTCATAATAGAATCGAGTTCAAAACCAATCCAAGTTATATTCCAAATTGTAGATACATTACTGTTTTAAAAAATAATCTGGCTACATCTTAAGAGCTTACGTGATCAAAGGAACCAAAGATGAATGAGATGATGAAGTAGGTGAGCATGAGATGGTTGATTTCTTGTGTTTGGTAATGATAATTAGGTAGCATATGGTAACAATATTTTTTTCGACTAATGAATCGGATCCTACTGAATAATTTGTTGATATATAAGCCGTAATTTAGAGATGAATCGTCTCTTGACCCGGTCTGCCAAAAAAGAAAACTAGCGGATCCCACCACCGATCTACACCAGAAAACCAGTTCATTCCACTGCCCCGATCTGCAAAACAACCTCTATCATTTCAAAACATGTTCGTGAATGAGCATACTCACTAAAATTCCTGTTATCATTAGGCAACAGCCCCTCCCACGCCAGCTGCAGCAGCTTGTACCAGACCTTCCCAGGAGCAGCAACTTCTTTCAAACCCTTATCCTCAGCACCACCACTTTACCACCCCTATCTAAGACCCTAGACTCCGACCTTCACAAAAAGATCAGATTTCACCTACCAATACCAATCATAACCACGTTTTGAATCTGTGAAGATATACTTTGAAAGATTTCCTTGCTAGCTTCAGTATCAACCCCTAAGAAGATCCTTCATTAAATTTGGAGAGGTTAACGACTCCTTCATTTCTCGCAAAAGGAACCGAGTGGGAGAAGGTTTCTGGACATCAAAATATGTCGATTTTAATAAATTTCCGATATTTGTTAAAATTGATTAATTGCCCAATATATCAATAGGACCTAAAAACCCACTAAAATATGCAAAAACAAATAGCCTGTACTGACATTTGGTTCCGAACATTTAGATGATATCACCCAATGATTGTAGCAACCAGATGATTTTCTATGACAAGATGAAGCAACAAACGAAGTATAAATATGGAGACGCCATCAAAACTAAGGAAAAGCCAAAGCTAGAAAGCTTCTTATTTATTTTAATTTTGTTTATGCCCAACACATGATAGGAGGCAATCGAACTCCGTCATACTGTATTGCAGTGGATAATATTACTGATCAATATCATTCTGACACCATTTTAGGTGCTCTCTATGTATCTGGTTCAAACATCACAAGAACAGGTTCGACATTGGTAGCCAAGTGCTTGTCACTGTTGACGCCTACTGGAACGCATGAGCATTCACAACAGGGTTCGGATAGTGGACAAAAAGAAAGCTGTTAAAAACTATTATCACCTTCATACTTGGTGGTCATAAACCGATTCAATCTATCAACACCTCCTGTGGTCACAACGAATCCTTTCGATTCGATCATCCCACTAGTGTTTTACTCGTGCTGACCTTCGACAAAACTACAAATTATAGTCCTTTAGCAAAGAGTTGTCGTATAGGTTTTGAGCTCTTGCCTCTTGCTTACTTGATTTATCCCAAAAAAGTGTTCTACTCGTGCTTTATAGGTTCTATAATTGATCCTATCAATTAACTTAAAATTTAAATCTTTTAAATATAAATAAATAAACTATATTATTTTGAAACGACAATTGTTTTAATCATTAATAGTGTAATAATTGGTGAGCTTGACAACTCGAAAATAAACAAAATAGTCTACTCTATAAATAACTTCAATTAAAACTACTATTAACCTTACAAATAAAATTCAAGATAAAATTCAAGCTGTGAAGCCCATAATCGGCCCTAGTATAAAATGATGATTTTTTAATAAATTTTTTTAAAAATTATTCCTATGTTCTTAGACTAAAAACTATTTTATAAATTGTCAAAAAAAATGATACCTAAAAATTTATTGATTTGATAGAAGTTTAGTGATCTTCATTGTTGAGATCAGTATTAATTAGTTATCCTAATATTTTGTCTTATAGTTCATGTGTTGAAGGAGTGCATACATTTGTAGATGTTCGACAAAACTACAAATTATAGTCCTGCGATAAAGAGTCCTCATTTAGGTTTTGAGCTTTTGGACCACTTTATTTACTCGTGCTTAATAGTTTACAAGATTCCATCAATTAAAATATTTCATCATCTTATTTTAAGATAGGTATTGGTAAATTCACTATAATTATTTTTTCCCACTAACTTTTTTAAATGATTAATGTAATGTTTTAAAAACAACTCATATTTTATTGATGAGTTAAAAGAATGCATAGATTTGAGTCTCTCGTGTGCATTGAAAGAATGACACTTTTTGTCTGCATTCTCTGTATATTCTCCTCGCAAATATTTAAATTAAAAATAGCACCCACAACACAATAATAATCCATGTAAAAAATTATAAAATATATTTTTAAATATAATTTCATCCATAAATATTAGATTATAAGAAATTGCATTACACTTTTATGTTTTAATAGTTAGCCAAAATTATCTTCTTATTCCTCAATTGAATCATCATTAGCTCCATCATAATCTTCAACTTTGATAATATTATCTGTGGCGGATCCTATAGAAGTTGATGTTGGGCTGGTGTTTGAAGCTGGGGCATTGGTTGATATTGGGGTAGTGCAAGTGGATGAAGTATTTTGAAGGTTTTTCATCTGTAATTAACTACAACAAAATAAAAGGCAGTAACAAAACTCAAATTCTAAAAGGATAAATGATAATAATTTTTGTTCAATGAACTACAACATAACAAGAAGCAATCAAAATATCTGTATTTTGTCTTTTATGTATATATAATGTTTTGCAATTACTGGAACTATTTTTATTGCAAACACATTCAGTGCTTGATCATACATTTTTCCTGTGTATACTGTATTCTGGATAGCAATGAATAAATAGCAAACCATCTCATTTAAATTTGTTTCTTCATGAGGTATTTATTAGTTCTGCAGATTGAACTTAAACGGGTATATAATTGTGAGATCATGCTTTCAAAGGTTAAAATTCGTCTGCTAGACCTCTTGGTAAGCTGAACCTTTTTGTGGTTGTTTGAGCTAATGTTTTCTTAAAACAATAGAAAATTTAGACTATCGGCTGCAATTTCAAAGCTGACAAGATTTTTATAATTATTTTATGTTCAAAGCTTCTATAGCTATCCATGAACACATGAATGTTTTTTCATAGTGCTTTAATTATGGTGATTGGTAACTTAGGTTTTCTTGTTATTCCATCTACCTAGCATTCCTATATGATTCCTTTGGAAGTCCCACATATACCAGACTTCATGCTGTTGTAATTAGTTGACTTGAAATCTACTAAATGATGATGTGTAATTAGTTTTGAATTTGAGAAACATGTTAACCCTGATAACTAGTCCTTTTAATGTAAATGAACGAAGATATACCTTTTCTACTGAAGTTTTCTATGCATTCATTTAACTGCTTAAATGATTTTGGTCGGTTCTCTTATGTCGTTGCTTCTTTAACTGTCTTATAGAGTTTAGTTCTTACTTTGGATGATATAACATTGGATATTGATAAGGTGGATAGCTTTATTAAGTTTTGTCCAACAAAAGAGGAGATGGAATTACTCAAGGTATTAAAAATACATGTGCTATTTATTTAGTTTTTTATGCCTATAAATCCTTCACTACTTCACACGAGAGCTTTAAACTGTCACCACCAATTAATTATTTTTCTATTTGTTCATAATTTAAAACATTGATTAGCAAAAGCATTCCCTATGTTCATTGAGTTAAAAACTCAAAATTGAAAACCAAGTATTTACTCCAACAATATCAAAATATTCAAAAATAGAATTGAAAACCAAGTATTCATAACTCCAGCAAACTATTCAAAAGTGCATATAGTTCACATCAACCAGAATTGAAAACTAAGTATTCAAAGCTTATGGTTACCTTATAAATTGATTTTCGAGCATTCAACCAAATCAAAACAGCAATCGTATGTCTATTCTTTGACCCTTGCATTGAAAAAAAATACAAATACAATAAATTAAATAGATAATAAACATATAAATATAGGCAAAATACAAGCTAATTAATTAATTAATTAAAATGAAAAAAACAAAATTAAAATCCAATGCTATAAAACTGATTTGGGTTTAGAGTAGTGGAGTATGGAGTACCTGTGATCTTGCGTAGATGAAGAGGAACGTCGATCTATTTTTGAGAAGCTTGAATGGTTTCAAACAATGGAAACACAAACTGAACGAAAAGGATTAAGAGAAACTGTTTTGGATCTCTATGTTTCTATTTTCTAAGTCTAAGGAGACGGGAGAGGGAGAGGCAAGAGGGGGCGGGTGCTTTGGCTAGGGTTAGCTGCGAGGTAGAGGGGGGACAACTAGTTGGTGTTGCAGTGTAATTAGGGTTAGTGTGGAGAGTCGGGAGAGAGGCGAGACTGGACATCATTTTCAATTTATACCAGTGGTGGGTGGGGACCTTTTTATTCTGAATTGGTTCGGTTTGGTCCGGGTGAAACATGACCAAACCGAACCAGTTCCTACATTATAAAACAAAAAACCGAACTGAACCAGGAATTTTTCTAACTATTCTAATCGGTTTTTTTCTTGGCTCAATTTTTTCAGTTATTTTTTTGGGTTTTCTCAGTTTATTCGATTTCCTGATTTGTTTGATCATCCTTAGTACCTAGATTTTTTGTTAGGATGAGATGGTCATGTTGCGTCACATTGATAATGTCACGAAGCTAACTAGAGCAAGTAGAGTAAGAAATAAAGATATCATGTCTCGAAGAGAGTCAAGATCAGTTAAAGAAAAAAAAACAGATTATGAAAATAAATTGGAAAGGAAAAGTTTTGCTACACAGAATCAGATTCAAGAAGAAATTTAAGTCTCACCGATTCTAGTAAACAAGTTGGAAGGAATCAATTTCACAATAATTGAACTTGGCACTAGAGAGAACCTTTCTGCCACTAAGTACTGAATCGTTATTCAAATGTACTGTTTGCCCTTTCTTTATTTTGACTTAGATGCGACTGCTAGAATATATAAAGAGCTTTATAGCTCTTCTTTATATCTCTGAACTTATGTTTAATACTTAAGATTACAAGTTTGTTTATAGAACTTAAGTCCTAGCTCATCAGAAAATTAAACTATTCAAAGAAAATCCTAATCTAATAAAAAATCTAACATTCTAATTAAACAAGGATTATAATACACTAGTTCATTACAAATCTTTATTCGTCAAGGATTTCTCTTTTAGCTAATATTAAAACTCTTAAAAATTTTAAATCCTAGTTGATATTAAATTTCAATACTCCCCCTCAATATCAACTGTAATCATTCTTTCATTTTTCTTTTTTTCTCTTCACAATGTCCTACCTTAATAGTATTGATGTTATTCGTATTCCATCATTATCAAAAGGATTACTTACCTCATATAAGTCATCAAGACTCCTCATCTTTGTAGGTGGAGTGTCACTACTTGAGCTTTCAGTAGAAGAAAAAGAAGAAGTTGAGCTTGTTGGTGTTTGTGGAGGTGCGACTTTAGGTTCTTAATGGTCTTTATATCTTCCTCCTCTTCATCAAGAATTGGTAAGATGTCATATTTCTCATCATCATTTAAGCATTTAGGCACATCCATTCCTATGTTTAGCAAGAACATTTTATTCTTTATCATGACTACATTTGTAAGCATATATCATTTAGTGTCAAGTAATGTCAAAGTACGATCTTTCATCTTAATCTCATAACCCTTCTCCAGTAATTGTTCCTAAGCTCAATATGTTGCTTTTCACCTTTAGTATATAATAGACATCACTAATAAATTGATGACTTCCATCTTTCAATTAAATCAAGATCATACATTTTCCTTTTATGGGAACCCTTGAATGATTTGCAAAAGCGACATTACCTTTAATTGCTTCATCATGCTCCATGAATTTTGTCTTTGTCTCCACACATGTGGTTACTAGCTCCATTGTCTAGGTACAACATGTTCTCATTTTCTTGCATTTTCTCATTAAGGACTAGTAGTTGAGTGGCTTCGTTCTCTTCTTCTATCACAAGATTTGCATTATTCTAAACCCTTTTGGCTAGACTCCAGTAATCCTTAGCATAATGACCTATCTTTTGATAATTATAGCATTTAACTTTTGATTTGTCAAACCTGTTGTCAAATCTAGATCTTGAGTTGCAACTACCAGTTGAACTGATCAATCAGTTCTCTTCATTCGGTTGACTATTTGATCTACTAAGGCTGTCTTGGCCTCCTTTTCTAAATCTTCCTCTTCCCCCTCCTTCTTAGGAATATCTAGAACCATCTTGGTTTGAAAAAAGTGCTTCTGCACCCACATCCTCTTGAATCTCATTGACTCTTTCCTTATGGACTTGTAATTTCCCTATGAGACTTTGTATTGAAAGAAAATCTATATTTTACAACTCTTTTACCGCAATCACCACATAATGGAACTTCTTTTGCAACGAGCATAGGATCTTCTCTACCACACGTGTCTCTTCCATCTTCTCTTCATATCTCTTCATTTGATTATATATAGTCAATACTCTTGCAAAATATTCTGAAATATTCTCTTATTCAAGCATATATAACTTTTCAAAGTCACCATGTAATTTTTGTAAATTTACCTTTCTCACATTATCAGCTCATTGGTTTGATTCTTGCAAAACTTTCCATACTTGTTTGGTAGTGGCTGTGTTAGCCACTATCTCAAAAGTGGTATTATCCAAACATTGGTAGATGATTGTTAATGCTAGTTAATCCTTCCTTTGTGCCTTTTGCATGGTTTTTTTTTGGACTAAAGTCAACAGTGTTCCATCTATAGGTTCTTTAAAGCCTTTTTCAACTGTTTCCTATACTTCTTGAGAACCTAGCCAAGCTTTTACTCAAATACACTAAGTTTGATAGTTGTCCTTTATCAATCTAGGACATTGAAATGGAAGGTTTGAATTAGCCAAACCTAAGCTCTGATACCACTTGTTCAAAAAGAATGATAGGGTGTGATAGATAATTTATAAGAACAAACATAAGAATAAGAAGAACAATGAGAGGAGTTATATTTTATTAAGAGTTTTCTCAAAAGATACAACTTTATAGCTCTTCTCTATATTTCTCTCAACTTGTGTTTAATGCTTAAAGATTACAAGTCTATTTACAAGCCTCAAGTCCTAGCTAATAAATAAATTAAACTATTTAAAGAAAATCCTAATCTAATAAGGAATCTAACATTCTAATTAAACAAGGATTGCAATAAACTAGTTTATTATAAATCTTTATTCATGAAGGATTTATCCTTCAGCTAATATTAAAACTCTTATAAAATTTTAATCCTATTGGTCTAAATACTAGTTGATATTGAATTTCAACACCCGATTGTGCTAATTAAGAAAATAATTCTATTCTTTTATAGCTTTTGGAAGAAAAAAAATCCAAGGTTTTGGTATTGTATTGGGGATTTTTGCTAAAACAGTTTCCATTGTAATTAGATATATGAAGATTTAACTTCCATCATTTAATTTGTTTGTGTTGTCTTATACTTTCTCCTGTGTCATGTGAAAATTTTATATTAATTTTTGAGTAACCATGATACTATGTTTCAGCTCTTCAGTCAGCCAGTATTCGAAGGAGTTTCCGAGCAGTGGATCTCTAAACAACTTCTACTACATCAAACTCCCATTGTTGCCTTCTTCACACTTTAATCTTTGCAGGATATGTTTTCGAACTGCATATGTTGTGTCAACAACCGCGAGTGCCACTGTTTTAGGAAAATAAAAAACCATTATTTTTCTTAAAAAAGTAAACACAGTTGTCTTGCTATCTTGCTACAAAATACATAATCTCAAATAAAATTTCTGCCATTTATATATCATAATTTTCTATTTGGCTAGTCAAGTACGTATTGTCATAAATATCTTTCTGACTTCCTAATTATTACGTGATTCATCTTACTTAGCATGGAATTGAAAGATACACAAGTAATTTGCTGTTGAAAAGCTTTGAAGCTCTTCAAGGTGTGATTTCACCGACTAATTTTGGACCTGTACAGAGCTCAATGATGAGCCATGGGAAGCGTCTCTGATTGTTGCACTGTAAGCGAGAGTGTACGTATGAATATAAACAGCAGATCTGCTCTATTATTGCCATATGCTTAAATGGATCGCAGGATCCGCAAACCACAAGTGATGATTGATTAGTACTTAAAAGTGCATTTTTATCATGGTTTTATATCATCATTTTGCACTTGAAGTATCAATAACTTCTTAACCAAAGCATGTTTTATAATAATATATCTAATAATATAAGATACCTTTAATTTGTGGTAAATGTTCATTTTAAATGCAGGCCTATCACATAAATGAAAGGATTGATTGATGACTTTAAGAACTTAAATTGCAAGGATAAAGAGATGATCAAACTTAGAAAAGACATAGGCCTACAACTTTCATATGGAGCCCAAGATCTAAAAAGGCCATTTTCAAGTCCAAATTATAGCAACAACAAAGAAGCCCGAATCTGTTTTCCAGCCCGAGCACTGTTCAGTATTTTGGCCATATCTGGAGTTCTAGAAGTCCAAATGAGCTAAATGTTTTACACAAGAAAGCTGAGACAATTGCCTACAACTTTCATGTTTGCAACTGGCTCCAATTTTGAAGTTATTAATGACGTTTTGGGCAGACAAGAGAAGATAAGGCTTGTCACCAAGTCAAAAGTTGGCCACCCACTTATCAATTAGTCATCAAATCAATATTTCCCAATTTTGGCCTATAAAAGGAGGCATTTGCCATGCATTTAGGCATCTTGGTTTTCAAATCAAGATCATGCTCTTCCTTTCTCTCTTTGTATTCTTTGTAATGTTTATGCTTTGCTTTCATTAATATCAAGTTTATGCCTTTCATTTCCTTTCCTTTACTTAGTTAACTTTTATGTTCTTATTTTGTTTATCTATTTTGCTTTCTTTCATTATGTCTAGCTAAGTTAGTTATGTCAAGGTGAAAAGGTTATACTAATGGTGTAAGAATAAGTATAATGTAAACTTAATATGGACTTTAATGTTTGATACTAACATGTTTTGTATTTGTTATCTTGTTCACTCTTTAATACTTTGTTTGTTAAATGACTAATCTTGATTTATGTTGTATAACACTTGGTACAACAAATGCTTGGCACTTTCATAGCCCATACTGTATGGTATAACCGACACCTGAGCTATGAAAGGAACTTGATTTGTTGTTAACATAAGTTATAATCATGAATGCTTGACGAGATTTACAAGTATTAGCATTAATTGAATAAGATGACTAATGTAATCATGTTAACAATATATAATCTGATTGGAACCTCCTTTGGGTGTGGTTTCCAATTCAATAATAAGAGTTTATACTATGCTTGTTTGATATATCATTAGTGGAACCTCTAACCTTGACATTTGTTATTA